ACACACACACACACACACACATCCCTCTTACACTTTCTTCCTAAGCCATGCTGATATTTGACACTCAAAGCTATGATAAGAATTCAACTTACAAATAACCAGTTTACACATTTGTCTATATTCTCTGTAGTGAAATGGGAAATTAAAAGGAAGCCATATTGAAACACAGTCTATCCTTACAAAAAAAACATTCCTATCAGCCTGGCCATTTTTACCTGAGGAGATGCTGACTTGATAGAGAGGTGAGATAAGAGCCAGATTTAGATGCCTGCAGGTTTTATAAGGAAATGTATTGCACAGGGAACAGAAAACACTGGAATAAAAGAAGATGATTGTGGAATGCAAATCCTTTGAATGCTTTTGAGAAAGAGCTTACAGGAGAAGTGTAGAAATGGTACGAATGTGTACTCTTAGTGTGCTAAGACTACCACCCAAAGACTGACTGCTTGACAGTTGAAATCTATTTCCTCACAGTCCTGGAGGTGAGAAGTCCAAGATCAAGGTGTCAGTCAGATTTGTTTTATTCTGAGGTCTCTAGCCTTGGCTTTACATAATCTTCTCCTTATGTTCACATGGTCTTCATTCTGTGCTGTATCTGTGTCCTAATTTCATTTTCTTATAAAAACACCAATCATATTGGATTAGGACCCACGTCAAGGACCTCACTTAACCGTAACTATTCCCTTAAAGACTTTATTCTTATCTCTAAATACAGTTACATTCTGAGGTTCTGGGGGTTGGCACATAGGAATGTTGATGGGACAGAATTAACATAAATATTAAGGAAATACAATTATTTCAAATAGTCAAGTTGATGAAATCATGAAGACACACAGAATATGTGACATTGAGTTGTGGTTTGAAAAATAAGCAGAAACTCACTAAGCAGAGAGGGATTAGGAAGACTGCCAGGGAGGGGCTGTGACAGCCTGTCAGACGCAGATGCTTCAGAAAGACTTAGTCAAGGCACCCGATGTCAACAAGGAACCATCGGAGCACAAGTAAGTGAACTAGCACAAAAGTCTTAAAAATGCTCCCTCTGAAAGCTATAATATATTCTAGACAACCAAGGGAAAACTTAAATTATGTATAAAAATTCAACTTTTAGGTTAGATCTGCATAGAGTTTTGTACCTAACTGTTGCTCCAAGCTTAATGTCCAAAAACAGTAGTCAAAATACGACATGGGGAATTTGGAACAGAGATGCATATAAGTCAGAATTAGAATCAAACGAACACAATCACACATGTCTGTGAAGATGGCTTTATGTACACAATTTAGTTATTTATCAAGAACTGTCATCATTTTCAGACATAGCTAGGAAATTTTGTGACATTTTGCTCTCCTTCATCTTAGAAGGATAAACTCAAGATTTGACTGTCTCTTTAACCAGAAAGATAATTTTTAGTAAAGGTAGTGAATAGATCCATGTGACTGCATAAATTTTGTAAAGTCATCAACTAAGGACACACTCATCTTTTTAGTTCAGCCTATTTCAACTCAGTTTATTTCTTTGGCCAAGGTCAATTACACAGTCCTTGGGAGGCTATTGATGTAGTGTAAATGGAATTCAGAGACATTGAAAAGATTAAAGCTTCGCCTTGATATGTGATTTACATCTGATTCCTATCTTAAATATGCGTATCAATTCCCACATTCTAGCTCATTCTCTCAAAAACTACACTGTTTGTTTACAGCACACCTTGTGTCCAAACACCAAGAAGAAAAAGAAACCTGGTTACTCATTTCAAATAAAGAGCTACCTAATCATTTGTCTTCTGAAACATAAAGTTTCTTAATTATGTACCTATTCCATAATATACATATTTATATATATATTCCATAATATATATATATATATATATATATATATATATATAGAGAGAGAGAGAGAGAGAGAGAGAGAGAGAGGTAATATGCTAATTGGTCCTAACAGTGTCACAGTAACGACCAATTTGCATATTGACAGACCAGCAGGAGGCTGCACGCACAGCAGGGGGCAGGCAGCCTGAGTCAAGTTTCCAGGGGTCTTAGGAGAGTGCCTGACAGGAGCCTGGATTGCAAAGAAGGAAGAGGAAGCAGCCACAGGGAGCTCTTCCAATCCCCCTGCACGGACACCCTACGCCAGCCCCTGCACGCCCAGGGGAATGGACAGACACCTTACCCCAGCCTCTGCATCTCCGGGGGGGACAGGGAGGCTGACCATACCAGAGAAGACCCAGCCTTGGGTGTATCTTCAGCCCGCACCTCCGGCTCCTGATCTCTTCCCCCGCCACCCCTACCAGGGGCGCCCACAACAATAGCACACCAGTGACGACCCATCAATGCCCCTGAGGCACCCAGGGCAGATGGCCCACCACTACTGGGCTCCCTCCGCTGGGGCGGGGCACACCTCTCCTACCTACAACTCCAGACCCATGTGGAGAATGGCCTGAGTGGCCCCCACAGGGTCAGACCCTTTCCCCCAACACCAGCAGCGCCATCTCTGCAGCTGAAGCCCGCTGAACCTCGCTGGGGGCATTGCTAAACCCGCCCTCCTAGCCCACCTGGCTCCACCCTGGCCTGGCCCCCACCCTGCTTCAGGAGATTGGAGCTGCGCCTTGAGCAGGTACAGCTGCGAAACAGCCATGTACAATTTAAAGAATGGCGTCAAGCAGGAAGGTTTGACAGTTACTTCCCCTTCAGCCTCGCCACCCCTCTGATGTCCCCCTCAACTCCCTGCGCCCCTCCCCCCAGTGCCTCCAGGGACGACCACTGCTACAGGACTGCTGGCCAAAGCCCGCCTCTCGAGGCCTGTGGAACCCTCGGCAAAGCTTCCATATCTACAGTCCCAGGAAACAATCATGCCCTCCTCCCCTAATCAGCACCTGCTACCTGCAAGGGTGCCTATGGGATGAAAAATAACAATCCCTTCCTGTTTAGACATCACTTACTTGATGAAACATTTCTAGGTTTATTAGCTCAGAACCTCCTCATTACAACCCAGTGAGGTAGGCAGAGAAGAGATTATAATTCCTACAGAACATGTGTATGTATTCAGAAATGCCACTCAGAGAGGAAAAGTGTCAAGCCCAATAGTTCCCAAGGTGCAGCACATGCCCCACAGGGGGGACAATTTGATTTTAAGTGGGGCAATTTGAGAATGAGTTAACAGTGAATTTTTTGCATTTCTTATGGTTCTAGGGGGCCTCATCTGCAGCATATCCTACATAATAAAAGGCTAATATGCAAATGACCGAATGGTGGAATGAATGGTCACTACAATGTGTGCTGACCACCAGGGGGCAGACACTCAATGCAGGAGCTGTCACCTGGTGGTCAGTGTGCTCCCACAGGGGGAGCACCGCTCAGCCAGAAGCTGGGCTTACAGCTGGCGAGCACAGCAGCAGTGGTGGGAGCCTCTCCTGCCTCTGTGGCAATGCTAAGGATGTCCGACTGATGGCTTAGGCCCACTAAGCCATCAGTTGGACACCCCCCCCCCCGCCCCCGGGGCTCCTGGACTGCGAGAGAGAGCAGGCCAGGCTGAGGGACCCCCCTCCCAAGTGCACAAATTTCGTGCACTGGGCCTCTAGTCAATAATAAATTAAAGGAAGATTTTTGCTTTATGGCTATTTACTGAAATCTTTTTTTTTTTAAATATATTTTTTATTGATTTTTTACAGAGAGGAAGGGAGAGAGATAGAGAGTTAGAAACATCGATGAGAGAGAATCATTGATCAGCTGCCTCCTGCACATCTCCTACTGGGGATATACCCGCAACCCAGGTACATGCCCTTGACCGGAATCGAACCTGGGACCTCTCAGTCCGCAGGCCGACGCTCTATCCACTGAGCCAAACCAGTTTCGGCTATTTACTGAAATCTTTGATTTTGAACATAAACTTGCTCAAATGGTATACTTTTGACTACTGGATGTTTATAGACCAATTTCTTCAAGATAAGTTGCATTTATTTAATAAACTCAGCAAACTAATACACATGATGGCATAATGCTGTGGTGCTCTTTCTCTCACCCAGCCAATTGAATTGGGGCCCCTGGACCTGGCAACAAAGTTAGATAGGCCAAGGATAAGAAATAGTAGTAGAAATGAGAGGCAGAGTAGGACTGTTTTTGAAACCATCTGAAGATCTCTATCATTTTCCATGTACCTTATAAAACATGTCACTGAAAGGACTATACCAGGACTTCGGTATTGAATTGTCTTGCCCCAACTGAAGGGTCTATCCAAACACGAACACTTAGTATATCAAATTCAGTAAGCAGCAGCAACTGATTTTTTTTTTTTAACTTTTGATGTCTTTGTTGTCTTCCACACAGAGGCATTCCAAATGTTGTTTTATGTTAGCAGAGCATCCCAGCATCACCTAGCCTAGTCTCTAGTTGTTTTGTCCAGAGGAAAGACATTTTAAAGTGTTAATAATTCTCACGGACATTTCAAATGCAACATAAATATTGTATGCATATCTATATGCACACAGATAATTATTATGTATTCTCAATCGTGGCAATAGTTGTGTGATTGATCAGAAAAATAATGCTATCTTGTAATTAACCAAATTTCAGAAACACGTGAGTGTTATATTTTTTAATTCACACAGATATTAAAAATAAAGGTAAGTGCTATATAACCAGTAAGTATTCAAATCAACTACTTGAGATTATAGAATAGAAAATGTAGTAGCATCCCAATTACTTATGTACAATGGTCTTCTGATTTGTGCTACTATCCATTTTTGGCAGCCATTATTCTAAAACTGCATTCCCACTTAAAAAAAACGAAAGAAAAAAAAAAATGTGCAGACCTGTAAGCTGAATTGAAGGAATGCTACAGAGAGAAAGTTTCTAGTTGCTAGGGAAACCGGATCCTTTGCATATCTGTTTCAAGGGCCTTCTCCTTTGTAAACTGAGACTGGCCTTGTGACTTCCAGTGAAAAATATAAGTGGAAATTATAATAATATATACATATTCTTATAAACAGTACAAAGTTATACTTACAAACTTATGAGCATGTATATTTTGTCAGCACATTGATTGAAATCTGTCACTGTTGTTCTTAAATAGTGAGCATACCTAAAAACATCAAAGTATTATCAGATATTATTTTATAGCACAATTAGATAACATTCTTTTTTTTTTTCAATTGGCAAGTATTTCTGAGTACCTACTGTGTGTGGGCACAGAACCAAGTGTAATATTTATGGTTAATACTGCATTTTGCAGGGGCCTTCTTATACCAGCTACTCACTATCAAATAAAGTACAACAGAGAAGAATTCAGAGCCATATAAAGTCATCATGAGCATCACCCCTTGAACCACAGTCAGGTCGACATTCCTATTTTACAGTTAAGAAGGCAGATGGCCAGAGGGAATAAATACCTTAACCAAGGGTCCCTATAAACAAATTGTGTATATTAGCTTTTTTCCCAACTAGACTGTAAGACTTCTGGGAGTTTGAAGAATGACTTACAATGAAAAACAGCAATAGACATATTTGTTGATTGAATTATGATTGGTAAGTTATGCTTTCTGACAAAGTATCTCATCTGATGGTTGGATCAAAGATTCAGTCTTCTCCATTTAAAACCAAATCTGGTCTTTATTTGTTGCTTCTTCTCTTTCCAAAATTCTTTTCATCTCTCCTGTCCGCTTTGGCCCATCCTGTTCAATTTGAACACATAGCTAATGTTTATCATTGTTTGCTATATTTTTTGCTTCAGAATTCAACTTATTAAAAAAAAAACACAAATAGAGTTTCACATTCCCTAGGTCAGCACTGAGGGGTTCCAAGCACTAAATCATTTCCTCCTGTGCCCTCTCCCCATTTGCCTTAAGATCTTTCATTCTCAGAGTCATGCATTTTCTGACAAATCTTTAAAATGTTTTTCTCTGAATCAAAGATGGCCTCCATTTGAATTCTTCATCTGAGATAAATGTTGTTTGCTGGTGTGTGTTTCTCGGCATCTGCAAGGGGTTCAGGAATCTGGAGAAGGGCTGCATGTAAATTATTAAAGAGTCCAGAGACGAAACATAAATTTGGAAGGTATTTTGGGGAGCCAGAGGAGCTTGGCTGTAGGAACCAAGTTCTGCTTGTCTCAGGACCCCTTGCTTTTTATTAACACAAGTTGTCCAAAGGCAAGGTAGATATACATACCAAAGGCAAGGTTCAGTATACAGAATCCATTGTCAGATTGGGGGAACTGCCTACGGCTGTTCAGGTGTTTGGCCAATAGGAGGCAATAACATGTAGATTAAAATGCCCTCAACTGTCTGGCAGCAAGCAATTATCTATGCAAATCTTTAGGTGTGGGGAAATGCCCTTAGCCATTTCCAGCAGGCAATTCTTAAGGTTCCATCAACCTTTTGATGAAACTTCTTGCATTTATGACATGCTGGAATTAGCTTTCAGCAGTTGTTGACATTGATAATTTGGGTTTTCTTCTGAAGAAAGAAATTCCTATATATGAGGATTATTATTTTTATTACACTATTCAAATGAAGCTTAATAATTGGTGATTTGGTGAAGTAAAGAGTAATGGTCCATTTAGAACAAAGGTATTTAAGCTTTTTTGAATAACTTACATTGTTGTTCAAATGGGCTCAAAGTGCTTGTATGTAGGGGCAAATTATTTCTATGTAAGAAAAAAGAAAAGGATAGATAAAATAAAAAAAATAAAAGAGGAAAGTAATAGAAAAGAAAATTGGCCAGAGGTGGTGGAATTATTTTTCTCTCTTTGCTGTGTGAATTGGCAAGAATAGAAGGAATTGTGTACAAGAAATTTGAAGGAAAAGGAGAAAAACCTTTCTAAGAATTACTTATAATCAGGAAAATTTTATTATTTTTCTCCTTGGATACAAGGATTTGGTACACTGAAATATTCTTCAATCATAAAGAAGAAAATGACAAGAAACATGAAAAGTTAAGGTGAGCTGATGCTTTCAAACCTGGGAAGGAAATGGAGAAAATTAAATTATATGAAACCACATTTGTTAAAGCATAATTTGCAATAATAATGCATGTTAAGTATGTTTACCTTTCTGTATAATTTCCTATAACTGTTTGTTTCATTTTTATTATAAATGTAATATTTTAATACTATGCTCATTTCTTAGAGAATTATGATATGTTTTTTTCAAAAATAATAAAGCAGTAAATTATTCTATTTCAGTTAGAGTTACTATGGGAGTGGTTAGTATATCAGGATGTGATAGAGAAAAAAAAATGTGCTGTCCATTCCCTGACAGCAAACCCTAACTATGGAACAATCAGAGTGTCATAAACTCCCTTAGGGGTACAAGTTATTCTACTATAAGACAGGAAAACAAACATTATGCAGATCAAGTCCTGCTTGAAATTGCCAGATGGAAAGGTTATAGCGGCTCATGTCTTAAAACCCATTAATATCTTATGGGAAGACTAGGAGGCTGCTGGATATAATGTGGGCCCTGATATACTCCTGGTAATGGCAAGTCCAAACAGAGGACGACACAACAGCTCAGGCTCCCCTCATTGTTCCTGTATAATATTTCCCTTCTCCTACCTCCCTTCCATGGACTCCTGGGAAGTGACCTGAAGAGGTTACCAGGGCATTTGTATGGGAAACTTGGAAAGGGGTAAAATGGTACAGTTGCTGTGTTCAACAGGTGAGGCTAACATGGCCAGCTCCTGAGGGATAATAATACAAGTGAGGTGTTTCAAAGACTCCAAGTCCTGGATACGGGTGGTGGAAGGGCATCCCCTAGTCAGTTTTCAAGTATCATATAAAGGAATTCCATGCAACCTCCACCCTAATAGAAGAGGCTTCTCAGAGAACAAAATGGCGGTCTCTTTTCCAGAAATCTCTTTCTTATTATTAACCAAATTCCCCAATTATTCTCAGAATAGCTGGCAACATTTATTACATTCTGAAAAATAGCATTAATGGCACGCTACTTTAAAAGAAATGAAGAATTTGAAACACACTGATGGGTGCTTTCCTTCTTCAAGGTCACTAAAAAGTTGAAATTAGAACCCAGATGGTTTCAGCTTTCTAGGTCCATTTCTTTTCAATCCTATATCATAAAAAGGTAATATGCAAATTGGCCATCACTCCAACACACAAGATGGCCGCCCCATGTGGTCAAAGATGGCCGCCCCCATGTGGACACAAGATGGCTGCTACAAGATGGCCAGCCAGGGAGGGCAGTTGTGGGCAATCAGGCCAGCAGGGGAGGGCAGTTGGGGGCAATCGGGCTGGCAGGGAAGTGGTTAGGGGGTGATAAGGATGACAGGCAGAAACAGTTAGGGGCAATCAGGCAGGCAGGCAGGCGAGCAGTTGAGAGCCAGCAGTCCTGGATTGTGAGAAGGATGTCCGACTGCCCGTTTAGGCCCGATCCCTCAAGGGGTTCCAGATTCGAGAGCGTGCAGGCTGGGCTGTGGGACACAACACACACCCCCTGCACAAATTTTGTGTACCAGGCTTCTAGTTTAAGTATAAGCTAGTCATTAGAATAACATTAGTACTTGAAAAACAATTGCAAAATTTAAAAATATGCTTAAAGATATGAATATAAATACACACCTATATACACACATATATACATACACAAATATATACACACCATACATGTTAATCCATTATGGTTTCATAGTAAATATTATAATAATATATTGGAAAATAATAGCCAAAATCTAAACCCATGTGGTGCCAGTGTTCATTCATGTTTAAGTAAATGCTCCAATTTCAATGAGTTATTTCATAGCAAATATACTTCCCTGATTGAATTTTTGCATTTTTGTTTAAAAATAAACTGTAAAAAGAAAAAAATTATCTAGCAAATTACAAAACATTTTTCACATTAAAGCACAACAATGAAACTGTTTTAAGTTTGTTAGCTGTTTTTCAGAAAGTTTTCATTTTATTTCAGAATCAACCTAATTTATAGCAAACCACCCTTAGCAAAGTTACGAATATAGCAAATTTCATTTCATATGAGGTTGTTTGTTATGTGATATATTTAAAATCATCTTTCAACCATAGTTCTTGCTTCTTTAAATAGAAAAAACTCATAAAGTATATGAATCATAAATCAACTATAAATTGTAATTTCCCTTGGTATGTCACAAACCCATCTTTCCCACTTTTTCTTCCCCATGAGTTGTTTACACAAATATGAGGAGAAATGACTCCCCCTATAGGTTGAAAATGTGGAGAATTGTAGCTTACACTTTCTGAAAGATCTAACTTTAAAGGTGTGTCTACCCTCTCTCTGCAACTCAATGACCACCACCAGCCCACACCACCATGGTGTCTGTAAGGGCCTCAGGTTCATGTATTCATATAAACACCAAGCCTCCTAGTTTAGTGCATTTCTGAAATGGGTGTAAACTACAATTGACTGTGGCCATGACAAATAATTAATGTCTCTGGGCCACATTGAAAAAAAGTTACAGAAGCATTATGGGAAAGGGTGCAAAGTGCAGACTGTGTTACTTAATTCCCAAACTGCCAGGGTTGACCAACAGACCCTGAGCGATGGATGAATGATTACTCTGACACAGGATTGCTGTGAAAGAGAGCACTAAGGGACTGCCTGGCTAAAGGAACCAGACAGTCTCAATTGCCTGCCTCTTCAGGCTTTTATTGTAACAGCAGTTTGAGATAAAGTTTGTCTTTTAGGTATAACCAGTAGGGTAAGTAATCTTGGGAGGACACACGTGTCTGCAGTGTCCTTTAAGCAAGGACACCTAAAGATTGCCGGGAGCCGGTCCATCCTTGCTGTTTCAAAGGACCTGGCATATATGGCATACTGTTCTTAATGTGTTTGCTCACCTTCTTGGCACTATGTGTTTTGACCAAGGTCTCCAAGAGGAGTTGTTTCCCCAGGTAGGAATTTTTCCCTGAAGTCAGGGAGGGGATGCCTCTCCTAGAAAGGTTGTTTCCCCAGGTAGGGATTTTCCCCTGAAGTTAGGGAGGGAATAAAACCTCTTAACTAAGTGCCAGGTGGGTAATTAATCACTTTAACTATGAACAATGATGCTTAAGCTACATAATCTTTACTCCCTGGAATGGAGATAAGAAACGCCCTAACCTTTATAATAGAAATTGATAGGATTGAATCAACTGGTATAAATACAGATGTAATGAGACAGAAAGAGACAGAACTTAGAACACAGAACTTAGAATACAGAGCTTAGAACACAGAACTTAGAACACAGAACTTAGAACACAGAACTTAGGACACAGAATTTAGAAGACAGAACCTACACAGAACTAGAGACAGAAGAACTTCGCTGGAGAGAACATGGCAAAAGATCCTGGACTGAACCTGACTACAGAAATGGGCAAGAGAACCTGACTAGAACCTGGTGACTGAACCTGGCTGGAGAACCTGGACAGAACCTGGCTGGAGAACCTAGCAAGAGAACATGGACACAGAACCTGGCTGGAGATCTGAAGCAGAACCTCTCTGGAGATCCAGACCAGAACTTGGCTGGAGATCCTGGCTAGGCTGCTGATCAACTGAACGCTGCCTCCATGTCATTCCTTCTTCTCCGACTCCGTCCACACCTTTGGGGACCCCTGGACCTGCTGGGGTTGGACCCCGGCAAAAGATTAAGCATAAAGATTCTGGTTAAACACTCGAGAGTCTGCACATACACAGGCTTGTTTGGAATGGTC